GAATCCTGGCCTTCCTATGATTGAACTGTCTCTCTTTAGTGATATAGAAAGCACTGTCCCCTCATACCTGGTAGTAAACAGAGGCCTGCCAAAGAGCCAAGACTTTGAAAGTTACACAAACCTGCATATCTTAAGATAAAATTCAAATTTTAAAAAGGGAACCACCTTTTTAAGAAGATAAGAAGAAAGAAGATAACCTAAAATCAGCAGCAACAGCATAGAAAACAGTCCTAAACTGAAAGTAAAACATAACACATAAATTCTTACTCTCATATAGTTTAGATTGTGGGGGTTTCTCCCCCCCCCCCATAATTTTGGCTTAGAAAGGAGATATAACACATGCAAACTCTACCTAGCGAGAAAGTCAGATTGTTTAAAATTGTTACAATTATGTTACTGTTATATTACAGATATGAAGGGAAAGGCTAAAGGGTATGACAGTCTGTGATAACAGTGCTTGGATAAAGAGCACGGTGTTGAGTGAACATAACATAGTAGTAACAAAAAATTTGAAAAGGAGGACATGGATTCAAAACCAAGAATTCAGTGCGTATACAAAAGCCTGTACACATGCAATGAAGTATAAATTTTTGACTCTTAGAAGCTGTAATTTTAATAAACTAGAAATGCTTTGAAACAAGAGGAGTAATTTAGAAAAAAAACCAGGCTAAATCTAAAGAACTTTGATCTCTTACATCTTGTAGCACTGGAAATACTATGCAGTACTGCAGAGGTACAATACAGTAATGGATTTATAAAATAAGTTTTGGCACACACACAGACCTGTTGGCTTTACTCAGACATAGCACAGAAGCACAACAGGAAGAAAACACGGCATACTGATAGTGTTGAGACACTTGGGCAAAAGCAAAATGCTGAAAGACTAGACACTGAGCTCCTTGTCTATGGAAATGCTGTTACTGCACACTGGGCATCCAGTACCATACCCTGTGTGAAAAGCTGTGACCTCTGACAGGTGAGCTGCAGGATCTCTTAGTCATCACTGGGCTACGAGGAGGTTTACCCATAACAAATAGCTCTCTCTTTAAATTAGCCTAGAGAAACCACAAAAACTGTGTCAAGTGAGAGTTTAACAATGAAGCATCACGGGATTTTTGTTGCTTCATTCATACATGCAAACCGGACATGCTTTTCTTGATGACAAAAAGCAAGTGTGTTACAGGTGCAAATAATGGTACTATTAGTATATGGTGTTTTCATTATTGCCACTGTATCTTTTTTCCAAGGGTTTGCTGCTCTGGCACATGCCCTTACACATTACAGTTAGAAGATTAATCACGCACAGTGTATGCAGCTAGAGTAAAAACAGTTATTGCAAGTGTACCCACTGAAGTAGCTCAGTTAATAATACAGAAAAGCTCAACAGCACAGAGCATAAATACTATCTTAGAAACAGCAACGACAAATGTTGTAATTTCTTGCTGTTAAACAGAACATGGACCTTAAAGTTGCATTTAGAAAGCGAGTAAACTTCCAGGAAAAATCCTCGTTTTGTTAACATCACTATAAATCAGCTAAATATTTTTCAGAATTCAGCTCCTAAGGGTGTGTGTGCAGCAAATGTGAATTCTCAGGGGCAGGGGCGAGTCAAGGGGAATGCGAGAGGACTGGAGTACTGACATTGGAAACGTTTTCATTGGTATTTGTGAATGCCAGTGGAATGTGGCAAGACAGAAGAACACCCCCCTCTTAGGAGCTGAGAGGGTAAATGACAAAAAAAAAAGGATACCAAGGGAGGCCAAGGAGGCAGGAAAACATCGGCATTTCCCCTTGGGAAGGGTCTTCAGAGTTCTTCCTTTGGAGGACACATCCCTCCCACCAACATGGAGCAAAGTGACACTCCCCACCCATAGCTCCTTGTATTCTACTGCCCAAATCCTGGGTCATGCTTTAGATTTGAGCCATGTTCCAAATATATGTACACATATATACGTATGTATGTATTTTTACATTAACAAAAATTACCAAGGTATCAGTATACAGTTTCAAAAACTCTCTGATGAACCTCCCTTCACTTGTGATACCTGAGTCCTGGAAATGTCTCATGTTCTTTCTGCCGGAGTAGTTGAGAGGAGACTTTAATCATGGATAACACGCACAAATAGAACAGGATAGGAACTGTCCTTCCTTCTCAAGTTCAGCCGCAGAGTAAGTAGCAAGAAATGATGACAGCCAAAACCTGGCTACAGTTATTTTAATTCAACTCTATCCTGGCAATGTAGTCAGTGTTGACTGCTGAAAAAAGTTTGCTTACCCTTGGGAGGAAATAAATCTTTATCTCATTTTGGAAATATTGTGCAAAAAATCTGTTGTCAGTAGCATTGTATCTAATAATTTCAACAATTTTCAAATAGATATCTATATTGATTAAGTTTATAAAGGAATCTGTTCCCTAGACTTAAAAAATAGTCCAGCTTTGAAATGGTTTGGAAGCAATAATTAAGAGCTAGAACTCTGTAACAGCCCGCAGACCTCTAGTTCTTCTCACTACTCAGGCTCTTGCGTCTGCAAGATGGAGTCATCTCCCTTGGTTACTTAGTGTCTTGCTTCCTGCCATGCCCCATGAAGAGCAGTACACTGGGAGGTTCCCAGGAGCAGAACTTTTAACTCTCAAAACAGATACTCCCTCTATTTGTTTTCAGCTGGGATTAACATGCCTTGCTCAAAAAAGAGCAAGGAGTACCAGAGTCACCTAAAAAGAATTTCAGTGTAGATGAGGAATTTTCTGAATTTTGTCGGTTAGGCTAAGCAAAAAGTACCCATCAAAAGCACTGCACCACCGGTAAATTATTCAAAGTTGCAGAAACAAATGCAATACTGTGTTTTACCCCTTTGAGGTGAAACATACCTAAACCCATGACATATTCATGCCCTGGAAAGAACCCTTATGTCTCTTCCCTACTTCAGAAAAAAACCCAACAGCTCTGGTGGACCTTAAGACTTCTTAAAGTCCATTATGTCTGGGTTTTCCATGAACACACACTGTAAGATGTGGTAGATTTAAAAAAAAAAAAAAGGTTGGGTTTTTTTTTTTTTGCCGTAGATGTAATGATCACTTTTTCTAGGATAGTTTCTCAAACTTTTTATGTGACTTTTTCTCCTTTTGATGATTGTGCAAATGCACTCTCTGGAAGTCAGCACCGGAAATTGACTTTGGGTCTAAACTGCGCTGGGAATTGACTTTGTCTATCTAGAGCAACCAGCTTTCCAGACTTAATTTTTCTGCCACAGAGTCGCAATGCTGACACAAAGTGTGGTCTTGAAGAGGGCATAACCTTTGTCTAGTCCTTGACTAACGGAACTGGTATTTAGAACATGACCCTCTGCAGTGGTGCTTTTTTTGTGACATTTTTGACCATTCTCCCAGGCTTTGGACTGAACTTGAAAACACTTTTAAACTACAAATGTTATTTAGTTTCTGTGTACTTGAATATGCGTCTGTTTCTTTCAATTAAATAAGAGTTACTGATGTCCTGGTATGGACTTGAAATTGAGTTGAAGGCTTTCTGCTTTTCTATCACTAGTATCTTAAGCTCTTTCATTGTATCATAATGGTTATTGTTTTACCTTGTGTTTCATTTGAAGAAGGCCTATCTTAACTCCATGTGCTATGTTATTTAATATTAGTAAAGGAAACAATACATCTGAAAAGGTCAAACTCCATGTTAGCCTTGCAGTTATTTAATACACATGAAGATTTGCCACAATCCATACTCAAGAGATGCAGTTACCTTTACCTTTGGTGAGTCTCTCTCCTGCTGATGTAAGGGTTTAGAAGGGAGAGGAGGTGAGAGGGAAGCAGTAGACAGAGACGTTGTAGGAACAGAGTGAGAAGCTGGTGCCTTGGCAGAGTGAAATGGAAGATTAGAAGAAAAGTGGAAAGAAAGATCAGAGTTTCCTGATGTTCCCGTAGAAAGTAGAGCTGGCTTAAGTGTTTAAGAAAAATGAGAAGTAATTGTGCTATAAAACCAGCTGTGAAGGACATAAAATGCTCAATAAGGAGTCATGTAACTAACCTGAACAGTCAGAAATGTGATGCTATTTTTATTATTAGTCAGTCTACTATTCTGGAATAAAATTCTTCCCTCGGAAATCAAAACAAGTTGCTATTTGTGGCAGTGGATTTCACCTCTATTCTTGTGGTTTTCTCCTGTGTTTTTCAGGTCAAGTAAGGGCAGAGGCAGCCTGCAAAACCTTTCTAATTAACTAGTTTTACATCTAGCCTAAAACATACTGTCCTAAGTATCTGATTTACATGTTTGCATGTGCTAGCCAAAGCAACTGCCTGAACAGTCTGTTGAAATAAATGCTGGACAGAAAAGATCTGTTCTAAAACTTTGCCTAGAAACCACACAAACTGCATAGCAATATTGTGGCATTTAATGGCTAGCAGACATTTGGGATAGTTCAGTGTTGTACTGCCCCAAAGAGGAACTGGGGAGGGCTTTAGGGGGAAGCATTTGTTGAACTGCCAAACATAATCTGATCTGTTATTCTTAGTCACATTCTCGTAACAGAGTCTACTATAAATATATCAGCTGGTGAAGTGACACATGTGAAGTACAAACCGCTCGGTCTCTGCAGGAGGCATGTCCCTCCCTCTGAAGGCTGCTGATAGCATTTGCTTGCTGGGGCCTCTGACTCAAAAGTGGTGGCATGTAATGGGCCAGTGAGGAAAACGGTTCACTGGCTTTTCACATCAGAAGCTCAATGGCAGCTAACAAGGACAGAAGGGAAAGGACCAGCAGAACTTACAATGGTGTATATGCCTGCTTCTGAGAAGGGACTATCCCCTAATGCTGACAATTTTTATACAATGCAATAGTATAAAACCGTGCCTGTGCACAATACAAACATGTAAATATGAGAAAAGGCAGAGAATAACTATGCTGAGTAAGCTATCTGAACACAGAAGCCAGTCTTTTCAGAAATTAAAATACCTTATTAATATTTGGTGAAGTGTATCCTTCATAACATACCACGGATTCTCCTCCACTTGCTGTTGGGAATTCTAAACTGTCATGTCCCAGATCTTCCTCTATATAGAGTCTTGTCAGTTCTTCTGGTTTGTCTTGTGCTGCTCCATAGAAATCTGAATCTTGAGGCTTTGACTGATCCCCTATATTAACTGACAGATCTGCAGTACAGATTTCCTCTTCATTTTTAGCAGTTGCAGCTAGCACTCTGGAGATGGAGCCACCTTCATGTGGTGGAGGGATGTGACAGGTAGTGCCAACATGTTCACTTTCTCTTGTAGTATCTGACAAGTCTCCAGGTACTTTGATAACTGAAGAGTCAAGTATACCTCTCAAGTCTTTATCTTTTCCTGGTCTGGTATTGTTGCTGGTATGGTTATATGCTATGTCATGAGATGAGCTGGCTGAAGATGAGACAGAGGTAGATACAAGAAAGGGCAGAAGAAGAGCTGTAGGAGAGCTGAGAGACCCCGCTGTATTTGGAATAAAGTGATCATCCTTAATTTGGTGAATGCTATTATCTGGGGAGATTGCTACAGATTGGGATGTTGTTAATGCCAAAGAACTGAGTTCTTCTAAGTCACAGAGAAAACTGTCTGGAAATGGTGGAGGAGGCAAGATGCACACACTTGAAGGTGAAAAACCAGCAGTCCTTGAAAACCAGTTGCTAGTGACAGCCTGGAGAATCTTTTGATCAATGTGTGACCAAGAGGAGGAAAGGTGTCTGGAAAGTGGGGACAGTGCTTGGGAAGGCAACTTCAAAAATAAGAAAACCATAGGAATTTAAATAAATAAATAGGCATGATAGAGAACTAGAATATGAGTAGACTGGAAAAGAAAAATGTCTGTGCCATCATCTGGATTATAGGGTATCATTTCAGTGAGCACGGGTGTTTGAAATCATTACTACATGAATCAGAACAGCAAGAAAGACATTTGAAAAATGAAACTGTATCAGGTTCTGGCTTGGGGCTTAAATGTCAAACATTAAGACAGATCTGAATCATTACATTCATGAAGATGACCTGCCTTTGGTCTGCTAAAGTTATGTTACTTATGGCGCTCTGTTAGTGAGCATGTCACAGGTTATTAAATCATACAATTAATATTAATTTTCCCCGAACTATTACTGTTATTTTGAGAATAGTTATTTTCAGAAGTATGCTTCAGGTGTCATTAATTATTTCTTTCAAACTATAACAACTGAGGTGATTTCTAATTATCCTAATGTTAATACTTCTACTTTTTCTTAGTACTTCTGAGTAAATGCTTAAGAAACATCTTTAATACGTTGCATACTTTTATTAAGGCATGAGCAGCCACAGAATGCATTTTTCTTCAAAAAGAACCCTACTAGTTCAAAATGACATCGACATTTGTGAAAGGAACATTCAATTCTAATTGAATGTAGGCAGTCAACAATGCTTTTAAAATAGTGACAGCACAGTACACAGCAGTATATTTTGAGTACCGTTACATAATATTGATTGAAGTATCCTTCTGGTAAAAGAAACGTCCTTTTGTAAGAATGAGAGACTGGTGAGTCATACGTATACAGCATCAGTAGATATCCATTGCTTCAGTAAATACTGAAAATGCATTTCTGTTACTATTAATCCTCAAAATTAAAAATGAATGAAAAATATTTTGTTCTCATTGTTATAATTATCTAGAATAATTAGATGTACACTTCTAAGTTATCTGGACTACTTTAGACTTAAGTATTGCTTTAGAACAGGAAAATAATTTCAAAAGGCTGAATTAATGTCACAGAATAGGGACGTTAATTTACTTACCATCTGCTTCAGTTTTCTTGAGGCAAATAGCTTTATTTTATAGTTAGACAAACATTTGCTATAAAGTCTTCTGTACCAAACAGTCCATAGACTGATACAATGCAGTCTGCTAAAACAGAGCTAGGCTGTTACAAGCCATACTCAATCTCTTTCTCTCATCTTTCCTCTTGAACAAGGGCCTCTAACCTGTGGTTTTAAGGTCAATAATACTGCCGAAGAAATGCTGCCATTTTTAGTTTCCCGTGGCTACCGGCTGCACTAGAGCTAAAGATACAGATGGTCTAGGACAAGTGAAGGAGAGTGAAACTTGCTCCTGACTTGTATTGCTTATTTATTTTTATTGCCATTAGGTCAGAGAAGTTTAGTGTGATTGTTCTAGCAACAGGGAGTGATATGTGCTAAAAAAACCCCAAAGGAATAGGAAAAGTGGTATCAGTAATTGTGGTAAACTCCAGAACACCTTCAGAAGTGCTGAAGTCCTTCTGGGTAGTCAGGAACAAGATGTCTTCTTACATGATATTGCTATTTTGGAATACAGTTGAATTAAGAACCAAGATGACTGTTTAAGAGCATCAGTAAAGACTTTTTTTTTTTTTTTTTTTTTTGACTTGTGCTAGAACCAGATGATTGCAAAAGTTTCCTATGTTACTTCCCCTTTCCTACCCTACAGAACTAATTTAATAATAACTAACAATAATAGTGGCAGGACAGTTTTGTAATCCGAATCTAAATGCTCCGAAGCATCACCTATGCTCAACAAGTGTTACAGGGGTTACACAAACACCAGTTTTAGCTGCAGGATGCCTTAGAGACAAACCTGCTCCATAGAAAATGGGGAGAGAGGCATCTCCGAATAGAGAGCCAGCTCCATAACATGGAGCACCTAAGTTGCCTCATACTCTTGACTTGCCTTCAGGAACCCCTGGATTCCTGTAATGATAAGGAGCCCCAGCTTATGAATACCTCAGTCTGCAGCTACAGAATTTGATGCTACTTCAATTCAGCAGTTTTGTTGGAATGGAAGAGAGAGGAGCTAGTTCTCTGTTGTGACACATTCTGGAAAACCAGGCAAGACCTGTTCTAGCAACTTTCCAAAACCAGCTAATACTGTTTAGTTGTAAGCAGTATTTTCAGAGGCCACTGTTGTCTATGAATGACATCTTTTGGTAGCTGTCCCCAAAGCCGCAAAGAAATGCGGAACTTATCTTAAAGTTGAAGCATCTGAATGAGCACCAGTATGCAAGTATATGAACGTAGAAAAGGGGGCAAAACCAAGTGAAACAAATAGAGATTAAAAGCAGGATAAGAAGTTTATAAATACACACATAACCCACCGCGCATGCTGAAGAGATAAACAACAAAGGTAAAGAGGAAGATTTAGAAAAGCTTCCGTTTTGAGTGTTCCAAATCACTGATAATACATTAATGCTAATCACAGTTTGCATGCAGAAACTTTCTTAGTGTCTATCACTGCTGAAGGGGTTATGCTCCCTGTACAGGCGACTATGAAATCTCATGAGTGAATGAGAAATTAGAATACAGGAATCTTTTTGCAACATCATGTAGCATGATTTGTGGTGGTTATATAGACTAGGAGGGAAGAGAATTCAGAACCTACGACAGACAATTGGTGTGAAAAATGACAACTATAAAGCTCTGAATCCAAGCTCATGGACAATGTGATGACATTTGCCTTACTACTCAATGAAACAATGCTGTCACTGTTGTCACACCACTCCAGAGAACCTCCCTCATGCCAACAGCCTCCTTCTAGAGTGTGAAAGGCAAAAGGAGGAAGGTGATAGTATAGAATCCTTAGCTGTTCTCCTTTGCTTTGAAAGGCACAGGACTGGTCTTGGCAAGCTGTGTCCCCACACAAACTGCCCTCTCTTGCCCTCTGCATGCTTATGGGACTGCAGGCTTTTAGGACAGCTGTGTTATGGGAATGTCTTCACACTGCACTATGAAAAGTCTGCTAGACGTATCCTTAATGATCAGATTCTGTCTAAGATTCCCAAGTAAATTTGTTCTGTTGGCTTGATTTTTCTGCCCAAATTTTGCCTGGCTTCACTCTCAATAATGTAATAGCTAATGAAGAAAAGAGCAAAAATCCTGGCAGAATGTAAGACACACATTTAGCTATTAAAATACTTTAATAACGAGTTAGTAAAGCAATTCTACCTATGCAGAAAAGAAAATGTAGTGTACTTAATGCATGAATTGCGCATTTTCTTATGTGAACAAAAAAATTACAAGTCCTTCTAAACCCACTCTAGAGGTGATAGCAAAGAAAAAAAAATCCTTACCTTAGTTGAACTTAAATGGTGTATTCTGTCGCTAGAATAGCTTTGGGGTATCGGAGGATCAGGGTAGTCATCAACACTTTTTGATGCATTCTTTTTGATGACTTCTACATAGGAAACAGGGAAGATGCCTTGTCTGTTGGTTCCTGGTATTTTGCCTTCATACCAGTTTTGATCGACTCGCTTGAGAAGAATTACTCTGTCTCCCTGAAATGCATTATGAAAATGAGTTATCAGCAGATATATTGTAAGTTAATTTTTTGAATAGCAGATATTTTTTTAACACATAGTATTATTTTCCCTGCAGTGCTGTTTCCCATCAGTCTTGAGAATCATCTCCATTTTCACATTTCTCCTCCCGTTTGTAATAACCATGTATACAACTACCATTCCAGCAAAACACGGAGCTAGTCACAGACTGCAAATGCTACTCTTTTATCAGAGGGGAATCTCATGTAGTCTCCTACTCTTGGCTGGGGGATTAACATTTAAACTTTTCTTTAGATCATAACCTGTTTTAATTGTTGGCCAAACTACTAGCTAACACCCTAACTGTAATATGCAATAGTGACTCCTATGCCCATTTTTCCTTAAAAGCGATAAATGTTAAACAATGAAATTCATGCAAGTGCTTTGTTATCAGTAAAACTGGAATAAGTGGAGGCAGAAATTTAAAAAATGAGTTCACAGGAAAGATGGAGAAAGAACTACTTTTCCTATGTAAAAAAGATGGGCAGGGGCTCACTTACGGTTTTTAGAGCGCTTAGCAACTGAAATGGAAAATGTCAACTTTCTATTCAAATGTTTCTCTGTAGCAAAACTTGATGAGTTACCCCCTCCTTTGTTTTACATGATGTGCTTTCTACCACATGTCTTTTTGTAATAAATTCTTCGTAGTTTTGCATTCTCTTGGGTTTCTGTAATTTTGTTTCTGTAGTTGATTTGTGGAGTACCCTGAAATTATCTTTAGTGGGATGGAACAAAAGAAAACCAGTGCCGGTTAACTTTTAAAAACAAACCAAAACTGGGCTTTCAAGATTATGACCACCACAATAAGCACAAAAGAGAATTTTAAAAAAGAAATAAATCAAACTACTCCCAACCCCTAGTTCTCTAAGTTCCTATTCCTGATTTTTTTTTTTAGAGCTCTTTGACGTTTACCAATCTCAAATGAGTGGAAAAACACCCGTTATCTTCAAGTGATGCTGGATTAGGCTGTAGGTCAACATCAAAAAACTGTATGCTTACTCTTATTTCAGAAGAAAAACGAACTCCTGAATAACTTCTATGAACTCTAATTCTTAAAAGAAAGTAAGAAGCAGAACTTTCCAGTGAATAAAAAGTATATACTACTTACAACTAAGTATATAATATCTGCAATAATAAAGTTTCTCTACAGCGGTAATATTCTAGTGCCTGACAAACCTCAGAAATTAAACATTTATTTTGCTCATGTGCAATAAAGTATAACCACCAGGATGTGCACAGAAAGATAAGAGACTGTATAAAAAGCAGACTGTTATTAAATGAAATATTTGCAAGAACTGGTGGTACATTCACAAAAATGCCTGTGCGCCTTTTTTCCCTATATTTTTCTATTTTCTGTGTATTTCTATTTCTTCTATATTAAAAAGCTTACCATTATAATTGTGACAGCAACAAATAATTATTAAAAAACCAGAATGGATAACTGAAGTGAAAACTAGAAATTTAGATGGGCAGTTAGCAAATGTTTGCATATGCTAATCTACCACAATCCAGTTTACATGCACAATATATTTATACTATTTGGAGGTAGCTATGAAAGATTGCAAGCCAATAAGCTATTATGTTAATAGTTTCCTACAACTGCGTTGCTTGGTGCATAGCAAATATTGAATGCACAGTGCATCAAAGCACAATATTTAACTATATATTAATTCTGTGTAGCAGTAGACAGTATGATGGTATTTTGATATAGTGCTAAACTGTACCTTTCTAAGTGATAACTCCACATTTGTGTCTGCACTGAAATTATACTTGGCAATAGCTTCTCCAATCTCTCCGATCTGCGCAGGGGGAGGTGGCCTGGCAGGCTGCGCTTTTTCTGGGGGAGAAAGTTTCTAAGGAAAAAGAAAAAACACAGATTTTCATCATTCCCATGCAGTTTGTGGACCTATTACCCAAACTAATTCAAGGCATTAAAACAGAGAACAAACCTCGACATAAGAAATTGGGAATATTCCAACTCTTCCATGGTGCTCACCCTCATACCAGTTTTGATCAATTTTCCTGAGGATATAGACAGTATCTCCTTTCTTAAAGGACAGCTCTCTGTAACAAATTTATTTAGATCAGATGTTTACAGTTTTACGTTTAAGTCCTCTACCCACATAGTTTCTGAGATCTTTACAGTTCGGAACTGAAACAGAATGTAGCAACTAAACATTTGAAGAAAAAGTGTCACAGCTGTGGTACATTTACCAGTTAATTATACCATATAAAATGAAATGATTCACAGTTATGAATCCCAGGTACTATCCATAAGTTATATAGGCCTGTTTTGCACTCTGATTTCAAGGAAGTATTGCTAGTTATTACCAGAGCACTTAGTATAGGGTCTAGCATGCAAGTATGATGTTTTTTGGATCACCTGTTTAGATGCTGCTTTTTATGACAGGCATCTGAGGGGTATGTGGTGTTCTTTATGAAATCAGTAGGGAAAACTATAGAATATATCTCACATCTCTATGGCCTATTACTACCTTTTTGCAGCAGCACAGCTTGGCGTGCTTCTGCTCTATGCATTTTTCTTTCAAGACAGCTGTTCAGAAGCAGGAAGACGACAGGATTATGTTCTCACCATTTCTGATACTCAGGGCCTGTGATACGCTTAATGTTGGATACCAAAAAAGGGAATTATCCAAATCATTAAGAACATTTTCAGATCTTGGCCTGGGAGTTCTTTGCTTTATCATCCATTTGGTTTTTCAAGAGCTAATCTGCTGTTATGATAATTCCAGTTGTGAGTGTTCTACCAGACTCAGCTCATGTAATTCTAGTGGCAACATTTGGCCATATCTAAAGATTGTTTAAATGCCCTGGATCATCAGAACAGCAGCCGGAATGAAAAACACAGGAATGAAACACAGAACTCTGCTTTGACTCTCATATCCTAGAACAGTGTTTCCTGATTTTGTTTTTCTTGTGGACCACTGTGGTTTGTCTTGGTATGGGATGTGTCACATCCTGCAGAGAGCCTGTGTATGTTAAGACAGGCAGGGAGATGCTGAAGAATTTTACAGAATTTTGATAAGCGCACTGTCTGTGATGGTATTTTAAGCAATGTACCTTGTGTAACCTAAGTACAATTCACAACAAATGAAGAGCGTTCAGTGGGTGATCCTCAGGACCCATGCTCTAGAAGGCTGAAGATGCATAAGCCATTCATGTGTTCAAACATTTTTGTCATGTGTTAAGACATTTTGTATTACAAAATAACTTCTCACAGTTTGCTAATGCAGAGGCTACTGTGACAGCAAGCAGGGTCCTCTGCTTCTAGGCTGTTTGCTGTTGAAACTGGCTAGAACAGCAGTTAGCTGCCACAAGCGCTAGAAAGAGTTTTCTTGAATTATGAGTTCTTAAATGAACAAAAGTCTAGTACTTACTTAGAAGTCTGAGCTTTAAAGTCATATACAGCTCTAGCTGGCAGTTTCTGAAAAGCAGGCAAAGTGATTAATACATTCAGGTAGTAGTACTATATGGTAAACATGTTTCAGCTTTTAAAAAGGTGACCAAGATCCAAAAAGAAAAGGACGTGTGCCTTACAGTGGTTCTTGCAGTAACAGGCAATTAATTACACAGCTTCCTTTTTAAGGCAGTTAGGTGTTTGGACTTAGTATTTCAAAAATAGAAATAGCAGCTAAATTTTAATACAGACTGCTTTGCAATTTTATGTTTGAGAGAACTACAAAAGTAAAGAAAAAAAGTTAACTAAATGCCAATGTGACTTGTAGGCAACTAGATCTATAGGTACAACGGAAATTCACATGCTTAATATTCTCTAATACTTTAGATGTCTCTTCTGTTAAACTTGTTATCTTTAGGCTAATTTCGACTGCAAGTACTGCATCACATTTTTATATATATATAAAGGAAAAATTACTCTGACAGCTGGAAAAGGCTGGGAATATTCTAAATTTCTATAATCACATCCATAGTTTTAAGAAAGTCTGCAAAACACAGGACTGGAAGTGATCTCCCGAGTCACCTGTGCAGCTCTCTTGCTATCACAGGCAATCACATCATATCATTCCTTTCATATATTTAGCAAGTTCTATCACCAAGTATCTGTAAGCTGAATATTGTTTCAAAAATAAAACTGTAAAAGAACCCTACCTCTCCTCACCTGTGTGGGTGACACTTAAGACTTTCACTGTTTTCAAAGCTGTGCTGAAAACACGAACTGTGATCCAACCCAAGAGCCTCACTCATCTAGTGTCTGCCTCTGATGGATAACCCGCACTAGATACTTTGGAGGAAGGTGCAAGAAGTGATTAGCAGTATTATGTGAGGATATTTGGTAAAGTGATTTAGTCTTCCTCTGCAAGTACTTGCGCAGATGAGATTGCTACATTTTTAAAAATCTCCCTCTAGGAGATACTAGTGAATAGAATGAGCTGATTACATTATTTCTGTGAGAGATACTATTTGTAATGATGTAAGGGTGCACATCTTTTTATAAGAGGAATAAAAAGAGATAATTTTAAGTTTTGCATTTTACCTTTCTTCCAGGCCAGATGTTCTCAACTGGCTTCTCTCCCTTCTTGTCATCTAAAGGCTAGCAAATTTAGCATACCTAGAGCATTGTCTTTGCTATAATAAAGTCGTCCCCAAAGTTAGTACAGGGATCCTGTCAACTTGCATTTTGTAATAGTAATACAATTTTCCATTACAGGTGTCCTTCAAACAAGACAGCCTAAATTTAAAAGCATTTTTCTATTCCCTGCTGCTGTTAAAAGTAGTCTTTTAGACGGGAGGGGATATTCATATCATCAACTGCAGCTAAGCCCTTTTCACTCCTTCCTGATTTTGGTACAGCTGGTGCTGTAACTGCTAAAGCAAATAATGGAAGAAGGGGGATAATATTCAAAGAACAGTGGAGCTGATTAAATAGAAAATACTTGAAATGTACCAAACATACTGGAAATAGAGAAGCTTTTCTTCTTTCATCTTTTTAAATGACAGCGATCTTAAGAATGGCTTGCAGTATATTATGTATTTTCAAATTGAAAGATGACTTTCAACGTCACAAAATTCTTTAAAAGGAACACACAATATGTCTCCTGGAACTTTTTTAACCTTTATTTTGTAATGAGCAGTCTTATTTTGATATCAGACTCTTAACTGAATTGCAGCAATATAACCACATCAGTGGGGTGTAAGTAGATCTGAATTCAGATCCTGTAACTAGTTCTAACCTTTACTACCATTTAACAAGGTACGTGGCCCAGAGCAAAAACTTAAATATCAGCAATTAAAATACAGTACTTTCTTATGGTGCCATTATTTTGTGCAGTATTTTAATAAAAATCAATGGACAATGTTAACAGCCTATGGTCTGTAGATGTTAGTTGATATAAATGTACTTACTTTATGATTGAATAAAATCCCTGAAGCCTGTTTGGAGAGCCTTTACAGTTCTACATCTAGGAATATTCTTAAGATACTGAATGATATACTCCATTTTTTTTGTGTATACTTTTCAGTGATACTTTGTGTTACTTTAAAGGTTGTATGCCTGCTTCCATTTCCTCTTCCAAAGCATTAATATAAGCAATCAGTATATAATTGCAATCACCAACTGTTACAGAAATTAGAGATCACTCTTAGGATAAGTGGTTTTGTCCAACACACTAACAGAAGTGGTTTTGCTTTTTCTAAACAAAAACAATGGTGAAATACAGATGTTCTTTGTATCAGTTTTGAAACTACTGAGGCAGTTTCTTTCTGTAATGCTCTGGTTCTCAAAAGAGCCTTTCCCCAGTCACATCTGCTATTCTTCTCCATCCCAAACACCCACTCTGGTCAACTTTGACAGAGCCTATCAATGACTAGCAAACTTATGTCTGTACCTATTTAAACATAAATAGAAGATACAGCTTATCTTACAAAGCTTGATATTCTTTCAATTTCTTGAAGTACCTATCTCCTTAATGAAAAAGAAGGATGCTGTCCCATGTGATGATAAGTAACTGTTCCTTTGGTCTGTATCATTACAGTGTCTTAAACCCAACACAAGTCTTGTCTCAGATATGTTACTGATTTTCCATATGGTTGTTGCTGCATTATTTATTGTTGTCTCACTACCTCTTTGTCTGTAGTTCCTCTTCTCTCCCTTGGAGTACATCGTCCCACATCAGTAAAAGCAGAAGAATAGCTTCCAGGAGACTCCTGGTCTACTGAAAACAGAAATTATGTGAAACTATGGTAAATTAAACAAAACCATTCAAATCTGTGATGCTGCTTGGTTTCATTTAGGGGAGTGAAGAGATATTGAAGTGTATTATTTTACCTTTAATAGAAAAAAAGCACATGATATGATGGCTAAAGTGCACCTTTAAAGAAAAAAAACAGACACTGACTCTCAAGCAAAGGCAAAGGCTAAGGCTGTTCTCTGATCCACAGCAGAATATATTATAGAGGATCGAGAGAGCAAAATTGTGCTTTACTGTACGAAGGGATGCACCCCTACTGGACCAAATGGAAGACATGACAGCAGTACTGTGACTTCATCAGATTGCAAGAAACTGTTTCGGAATGCTGACAATACCAACACATAATTACATGCACAAAACATGATTAAAGCATGCTTCAATGAGAAAACAGCGAAGAAACAGAGTTTCCTCCTAGAGTGATCTAAGATGCATTTCTACTTTACCAGGGCACTTGTTAGGCAGCACAAGGGAATTTAAAAGGATGTTATTTCATAAAAACAACTCTGTTTTAAGAGACGGAGTACAAAGCATTACTCACCAATCTATGTGGCAGATTTTCTCTAAAGCACAGTTTACCAGTGTTTATTACAGGATGGTATATTATAGGATGGTGGATACATCTCTTCATGTTTTAATAAAAATATAATCAAAATCTAACACTCTTCATAGCTCTGCAAGTTGCCAATGTGAAATGAAAATATAATGGAATTATTTCAGACCAGAGGATGAAATGAACTGCCTCTTGACTTCTGAGATTTACTGTTTTGGCCTCCTACTACCACAGTGATCCCTGATAGTGGGGACATATGCCTGATGTTTGTCTTCCTTTGACTTCATTCACACAACCTGTTCTTACCAAGCCCATACATTTCTAAAGAAGTACAAGTGGAAAAAAAAGGACTGAAAGCATCTAATCCATTATGTCGGGTTCTTACAGAAGAAAGATGTAAATGGTCTCCAGTGGGCTGCTGGCTAAGCCACAAAAACTTGAGGCTATTGATAAAATAATGAGGCAAAAAATAACATAATTGTATTATTTATGTCATTGGTTGCAAGCATGTCATCACCAACAAGTATATCACAGTCCTAGTTCTGGACAGCTTTCTTGATATGGCATCTGTCTGTGAATGAGGATCTACGCTCACTGCATAAACCTAAAGATACAATGCTTCCAAATACATCTGTTACTTTTTTCTTTGAACTCCAACAGAAAGAGGACATGGGAGGGAAGGAGAGAAAACGCAGCAGCTTTAGGAAGAACAATTCCCTTATTTCTATAGAGCTCGTTATGCAGTCAATATTGGTAGTTTTCAATGCTTTTTGCTATGACCTTGGGGTCTCTGTGCGGATGGTGGCTGTAAGAGACACGCACATATCCAACAAAACATGAAACTTTGTTAGAAGTAGAGCTCAGCCGTGACCAGTGCTGATGGAAATCAATGGAATATTCTGCTGTACTCATTCTCCATGCTACTTTAGGGATATTAACGTTGAGAGTGTACACCACTTTCCTCATGCCAGGCTCCTTCATAGTTGCAGAACCTGTTAGGAATCCACATTTACTCTGCACTGTGGATTTCCTTATTTTCAAAGACCGGAAAATTCTCATTTAGCAACTGTGATATGTGAGCAGTTCAATTTCCAACAACTCCGGTCTCATTGTGTAGTACTGCCTGCCAGGGTTAATCATGATCAGGCCTCAAGTATGACTAATTCAATTCTGAACTGCATTTTATAGCTGGTTTTTACCAAATTCTCTGTTCTCAATATGTCTGTTTTAACTAGCTAAGAGGAGATGGTAACAGCTTTAATTCTGATTTCTCCTGAAATACATATTCACTAGTGTGGTACTTGCAAAAGTTACAGAGAAAGATGTGAGATTAAAGTTAAATAAGATGGGTCTGATCAAATATTGCATAACTGATATATTAAAGATATTCTCTCTTACACCCTTTTGTGATTTCAAGAATAGCCTTGTAATATCATTAAATTCTCAAAGATGCTCTGTCACAGAAGACTATATGTCTAGAAGCAGAATTCCTTAACACAGAAATGTTACCATTTAAAAAGAGAAATAAACAACAGACTTGCCAAAGACGTTAATCTAAATCATCTAGGATACACCTTTGTGCACTCCTGCTATGAATCTAGTTTGCTTCTTTTCATATTGCAAGGTTAAACTTTAAAAACATTTTAAGCTCAAGCAATTTTTTTGAGAAAAAGAGAAGCAGAGCTACGAACAACTCAAAGTAGTAACTTTAAAACCAGATCACTGTCAAGACCAACTTTTAAAAAAGTTATATACACCCTGACAGTTTCATTCAAGTGTTGATTATTGAGAATTTCCCTTGTAAGAGGATAGGATATTTCTCAAAACTTCATAGATATATTAAAATTCTATGAGAAGAACTAGTTTTGCTGCCACAGAAATTGGAAATTGTATTGTTTGAACACTGGAAATGGAAATTCCCTAAAATGACCTTAGTGTCTATTCACAAAAAGTAATATAAAGCAGCGGAATTAGTGTATTTTCATAAGAAAACAGAATCAACGTTCTATGATACTGGCAGAATTAACAGCATTTTTATCACTTACATGTAACAAATACAGTACAACACATTTTAGATGTAGATTTTTTTTTTTTAAATAATAAAGGAAGAGCTATCTGCGTATTGCTTTCTGTTTGACCAGCATCTTGATGCATGCATTCACTTTCTGTAAGGTCTTTTTCTTGGGGAAAAAAAAAAAACAACACATCACTTAATTTAATAACATCATTGTAATTTATAACACTAGTAATCTACTAGTTGAAATACACCGCTGCTTCAGTTGTCCAGATTACTGTATTTTGTGAATAGACAGCAAATTTATCTATCCTCATCACCTATGTAAAAATGACATTCTTCATTAAGAAGTTTGTGGGATGACAGCTTCTTATAGACGACACAAATAAAAATGGAATGAGAAAGGGTGGGAAATACAGGGAGTAAGGTTGGATAAGTAAATCACAAGGACAGAAAAAGAAAGTTAATCCACCTTGGAAACACAGTGCACTATCATTGTTGTTAGTTGCGTCCATGTCTGGAAAAGAGGCACTAAGAGGTAATCTTCCACAATCATTCTGGTACAGTGGGCAATGGATAGCACCATCTTGAGGCAGTGGATGAAAAGGCTGGTGCATGGGACTCTTTTTCAGAGCTTTAAGAGATGAATTCCTTTCTGGAATGTCTGGAAGCAGTTCAGTAATAAGTCTGTGTAATATACTGTTGTCAGGCAAGCTTCCCCTTCTTTTTTCAGCTTTAATTTGGTCACAGATGTCTTTAAGTGCAGAATCTAGTGCTTCAAATACAGATGACTTGCATTTTTTCTTTTCAGTTTGTTTTTTAGGAGCTGCACTTTTTTTCCTCCGGAAAGGCACTGGACTGACTAGGAATGCTATCTTAGAGAGGCCAGATTCTGCTTCCTGTCTCCTTGGATCTTCAGTGGTTTCTTGTTTAGCCCTTTCATGTTTTAGCATGGTGGTGAAGCGGGTGTAGGATGCTGGGCATCGCCCTTTGCAGGAGCTGATGAGATGCCGGTGGTGGTGGTGGTGGTGGTGGTGGTGGTGATGGCCTGATCCATAAAAGCTTTCAGATGATGTGAAGGAAAAGTGGTCAAAGTCACTTTCACTACAAAAGGATGAACCCTCTATCTGGATAAAGTCACTGAGGTCAGAAACCACTCCATCTTGATCACTGTCTGAAAAATCCATATGCGATCGTCGTGGCTCATCACTGGTCACTTCAATATGAATTGGCACCAGGGTTTTAGACTTGTAGCTCCGTTGTACCTGAGACGGATGTCTGCCTTGATTTTCTTCTTCTAGCAAGGATTCGATAGAAAACCGCCTCTTTGGACATAATCCATTTTTAGGAGGCTCTAGTGTAACAGCTGACAACATTTCATCACCTAGGTTCGGCATTGATTTTGACTTCTGAATTAATTTTTCAAATTCAGATATTCTGGTTGGCACCATGTCTCTGGGCACCTCTTCAGTAGAAGACTCTCTCCAGCCTTGAAGAATACCTTTGTGCTGTTCTTTTTCATACTGCAGTATTCGGGACTTCACAGAACAAATAACCTCAGAATTCATCAAGTCCTTGCGATTGATGCGGTGCATCTTTTTGTACATCTTTAGGAAACCTGGGGCATCATGTGCAGATCTGTGACGCACTCTTGACCTACTACTACCACGGCCCTCAGGAACATATGGGGAGGCCCAGTTCATTGAGCAATCTTCTTTGGAGTCCTCCTCACATAACAGAGAGCCCATGCTTTCAGACTTGGCCTGTGCATCAGGAAAGCTATCGCGATCATCTGTTAACAGATCATCACAGCTACGAGATTTTCTCTTTGGAGAAGCAGTTTCTTCTGTGCTGCTCCAGACTTCTGCATTTTGACGAGTCATTTGCCAGCCATTCTTGTAGCTGATTGCCCTTCTTGAATCGTTTGGAACATCTAAATGTTGTCTGTAAGTGCTACAGTAATCTAATTCATTTGAGGTGTTGTGGTTGTGCGCTGAATAACTTAAAAGGGATGGATATACTTTGCTAATATCCCCACCTTTATAATCCATAGAGCAGCATGGTAAAAAAGAGATATTGCCAGAAATTAAAAGACTCAGAAAGTTGGAATTAACATCAGTAAGTATTAGAAAGACTAGAAAAGAGACAGCAATTAACGCATCTATCAACTTAGGTCAGTACGTAGGTTGCTACAGCCTGGGGCAGCAGAGCTAATAATTAAGATGATAATTTGAACATCAAAAAGAATTCCTTATGAATTATGGAGATTTTACCTCCCCACCCCCCCACAACCCGCCTGCCAAAGCAACATAAGAAAACAAGCATTAATATGGATTTTGAAGCAGGTCGACAGACAATAAAAGCTGCAAAGGATTTAAAGATGAAGCCAAACGACAAATCTAGACCTCGGTCAAATATTTACTTTTCCACCTGTGCATTCTGAAAGAAGCTGTTCAGAATTTTTGAGCTGGATAATACTCAGAGAGTTCACAGCAACTGCATATTCTAAGATAATTAAGGATAAATCTTTATGTAAGATCAAATGGGAAATTTCTCCCAGTTGTTCACAGGTAGCATAGGTAGCCTGTTCTTTCCCTGTGTGATAGCACTGAAGGGAGTGGTGTTTTCTACAGCTTATAGAGGGCAGAACAAGGTGGCTGAGGAGCTATGGGCGTAAAGGATGATGTATCAGTTTACTGAGCCTAACCAGCACGTAGAAGAAACAATAACCCTTAGCTTGACTTCCATAACAAAGCCTGAGTTTTCAACCAATTTTAAGACATATTTTTATGTGCATGCTAGATCTAGAAGTCACTATGAGACAAATTTGGAATTGTGGTCTCTCATACTTGCACTGAACGTGCAAAAACAGTCTCAAGTGGCAACATTCAGTTCAGAACACATGCTTCAAACAGCTCAATCTGCTTTCTAGATGACCAACTTGAATCTGAATCAGAAGCCAAAACACTGGAGTTCAAAATCCATGCTGATCAAACAGCTTATAATGTGCTGCTTCTTTAACACAATGGTTAATTCCAAGAAAAAGTAACATTCCAGTAGGTTTCATAATGCTGGGAGAATGGAGTGACATGGCTAGGTCACCTTCCAAAAGTTAATTAGCTGTGGTAGATGGTCTTAAGGGAAGGATTTTCAAACAAAGGAAGTGTTTTAAGTCATGGTAAGTGCTCGCTATCCATGGTGTAGTCACCAACTTTTCACTGCCTGGCCTGGTACACCAAATGGATGAGTTTACCCACTTTTTAAATTACCGCTATAACACTGGGTTTAACATACATTTGCTTTTCCATCACTTCATTCTTGATACTCCTCACTGCTTTTCTTTGTCTGATGCATTCTGTTGCAGCCTGGAAATTATGTTCTTTTCAGTGGGAATTGACTTTTACAAAGGTTTATACAGTCCCTAATACAGCTATAGGCTGATTAGAAAGTATAGCTACAAATACAGCAATTAAATGAACGGTAACGACTTAAAACAGAAGGAGACATATTGTATACAATATTACTCTGTATATTACATCCACTGTATGTTTTACTGGAAACCTTTTGTCTTGCTAAAAAAACCCACCCAAAACTCCAAACCCAAACCAACAACTGTTTCAATAATCTCTTCTGGAGAGAAACGGAGAACAGTAATGGAATGGCGAGTTACTTGGAAAAAGAAGCTAATTAGATTGTGTATGCTGTACTAAATGCTGCAATGTTTTACAAAATCAAAAATCAGGCTATGGATGTTTGCTTGATTAAATTATGTTCTGATAACCGACAATGTCTAAGACATCAGCTATAGATTTGAAAGGTCTACTATCCTGGAAACACATCTTTAATCTTGCTATTGTCTTGATTTACTTTCTGTATATACTGAAAACAGTTTTAAAATCACAATAATCTAATAAGAGAGCAGTGGAGTTAATAAAACTTAATGGGTTTATATATTGTGGTACAAATCATAGTCTTCATTTAGTCAATTTTGTTTTGTTAGAATAAGCAGTTGACACTGGAAAATCCTTGTTACAATTCCAGCTTGTCAGCTTAAAGTTACACACATAAGAATAGACAAGTTAGCCTTTCATGAAGGGCCCAAAGCTGTTGCTTCGTATAGTAAATCTCCCAGTAAAGTGCACTGAACAACAACAGAGTTGCATTTACTACCAATGTATTGTACAATGTATCATCAGTGGTTTTCTGCTAACAAATATGCTCTCTTCTTACCTTTCGCTCTTGAGGGAGAAGAAGGAGACGAGCTAGTTAAAGGCTTCCTAAGGGTGGTACATGGGCCTTGCATATCCGTACGGCCCAGGCTAGGCCTGTTTGCGTTCTGATCGGTGTGCACCCTCTGATGACTTACAGCAGGTTCTGACTTCCTTCGTTTTCTGAAGTCACTTGCAGTACTTGCAGAACTACAGAAATAAGCAGTATTAGCAGCAGTCTAATTCTGAGATCAGAGTTCAGGAATTTAAAAAGTATGCTTATAATTATATTATTGGTTTCTAGATTAAACAGTGTCAGAACAAAAACATCAACAAGACGTAAAGGGGAGAAACACTGGTCTCGGACATCTTGCAGCATATTTCACAGAGAAAAGCTGAATTTCTTCTTCACCTGATTTGTTTTAAAGTTTTATACAAAATTGCTATGTCATTTTCATAGTGAAGGCTTTGAAATAAACGCATCAAGTTTTTTAAGACTCTTTTTTGGTACTAGAAGTTCAGTGCAAAGATAGGAGAAAGACAGAGACCGAGGACAGAGATGAGGCAGCATGCTTAGGGAAACAGCACTGAAAGTGCGGCAGGCGGTAAGGTTAAAGGATAGATCGCTGCAGTTGAGACAGAAGCTCAGGGATGTTAGTGGAAAGACCCAGAATACAGCACGGCTTATTTTGAATGTAAACAGTAAGTCCTTGTAAAAGAAAAGTAAGATTTACACTTCAGTATCAAAATATGAACATCCTCTCCCTGCATGTCTCTATTTTATCAGTAGCTCACAAGGTGAATGTTAAAATCTGACTCTTTGTAGCATCTGCTGGCTTCAGGTCACAAAGAAAACCCCCCGGCTTTATAATCTGTGTCTACTGAAATCATATATTGTATTTCTTACCTAGAGGGCCTGTCCAGGCCTTTGTCTGTTGAATAGTGATGATATAAAGAAGTCTGTGAAAACAAATATATGAATCTGTTATACATCTGTATTTGAAAAAAGGGTGACAATTTCTGCTTATCATGTTTGATTATGATTGTTACTCTGTGACAAATCCTATAAAAACAGACTATGATTGTTAACATCCTGAGCACTCCAACACAGATACTGCAATACTTCATGAGAACAGTTAAGCAGTTTTTAAAAGCATCATTAGATTTCATTTCATATTCTACTTCAGTAACGTTTTTTCTTTTAAAGCACTACTAAATAATGATCCAAAGTCATGCTTCCCTATACCCTTTTCAAAAATAGAAACAGAAAAGCTGAAATAAACTTCTACTATAAAAACATAAAAATCTGAAAATAATTCCTTCATATCCAAGTGAGGTCTGCAGAGCTTCTCCTCCCCCCTGCAGTTACTCACCAAAATCCCACAATCAATTACAGACAGAAACTTTTTTAAATCCCTTGATGTTTGTGGCCAGTTGTTGACCACCTTATATTCCTGGTAAGAACAGTTCTTATCACAGAACATTAGTCGTTGCCATTAGTCGTTGCTTATGGAATTACGGTAGTAACTACTGCACGAACCCTGGAAGATGGAATGGAGTACTGCTCCATAATTTTATTATTAATACAAAGTCAACCTTAAATGACCAGTAATTATAAATCAGTAATTTTGTACATTTCAAGCTTGCAGTCAGAATTGGGTAATACTACAATTCTGGTAACGAGGTATGAATCTGGAACGAACTGCATGGTCCCTGGGGTATTTCTTCATGGGTACAAAGCAGCGTGGTTCGAAAGTTAAACTTGTTTCAAATTCCTGGCATGTTATTTCAGAGCTAACCAGATGGACTGGAAGTAGAAATACTGCTTCATAAGCTGCAGGAACTATTCTTCTCTCTATAGAAGCCTTCTAGACTTTTTCTCTGCATGCAAAAATCTTTACAGACTTTCCTCTGTTCAGAAGGACTGCAGAAGTAACAGCACTCATGGCCTGTGTAAGTGCATTTTTGTAAAGTATTCTTTTTTCCCAGTGATTTGAATTGCAAGTTCATGACTAGGACTTCACCTGGATTTGTAAACTGACACGTATGTACAGTTCTGGAAGGCACCTGTAGTCTAAGAATATTTAGCAACAGATTTCATGAGACTGCATAATTTAAATGACATTCTAGAGTAACTGTTGAAGCTACTCTTACAGGTGGGGCACTATAAAGACAATACAATTGTTCAGTTAGAGCTCATTTGTCTGTAGACCTCGTTATTTAAGACCTGCATCACATACCAAGTGATCCCATCAGGACACTGAAGTGTTGATTTCTGAATTATACTGAATTTTTTTATACTGTGAGGAAGGGAGAACCACACAAACATGATAAAATATGGATCAAACGTTATCTAAAACTTGAGCTAAGATAATTTGATTTTCTCAGTAATTTTTAACTGTAGTTTAATTTAAATCGCATTAAAAACAGGTAAAAAGCTTTCAGGCTTTTGGTAAGAATGGCAGCTGAGATGTAAACAGTTAAAATATGTTAATAATTCAAAGACATTAAAGTTACTTTCCAGAGAAAATAAATGTATAACTTATTATAGGTGATCTCTGCATAGAGTTTCAAAATGTTTATTTTTTCTAAACAGAAATGTCTTTGCTTTGTGGACAAGCATTCATATATTTCTTCTGTGTTACTACTTATTACTCCTATTATACTCACTGTTAAATGCTATTATGTGCATAAGCTCCAGTTTGGATCAGAATCACTTGCTGTATAAATACAAAGGTAGAACCCCTCCTCAGGCAAGATTATAAATCTGGGATAAGCGATCTATAAAGAATACGCTCACTGCAGAAACCAGTAACACAAACCTGACCACTAGAAATGGCAGAACTAGGTTCCTGATGCTTCTCTCAAGTCACACTTGGCTTAACTTGTAAGTTAAGTTAACACTGTGGCAGAACTAGCTCTAACATGGATTTCTGTTAGATTAAGCATTATGAATATGAGCTGTATCCTATTAGTAGTGTTTGTGCGCAGCTCTTGTGCCTCTTGATTTCAACAGAAAATTTGAAGGCAACAAAGTTTGACAACATTGGTTTGTAATGCTGGCAAACAGGGTTATGGCAACTCTGAGGTTTCAGCAAGAGAAACCATAGGAACTGGCCTGTGATTGAAGCAATTTAGTTTCTGGCCTATTTCAAGCCTTCTTGGTGATCTTGGACAGTTCAACATGGCATGTTTTCATCCCACAAACTCTCATGTGCATTTCATTGTGGGAGAAATCTCAGAGTAAGCATGTGTCTAGGAAAAAAGGAAAACCAAGGTTTTGGTTATAACTATGTCTCAGTTTTCTTCCAGTTTATTTTGAAATTAAATAGACTACTGGACTAAATCATGAAACCATGATGACTGTACCACTTCATTGTTCTAGTAATTTGTATGTTTAAACTTGCTAGTCTTTGCACCTCTTCAGAATGAAAGCAATACAAGACTCAGGTAATACCTCTGAGTCACATGCTCTACAAGTGATGCATCTTTGCGAGATCTTAAAGTCTCTTTTTTAATATTCTGTCACATTAGACGCAAAGCTGAGGCAATTTCTCTGCTGCTGCTGAAATTCTTACCTGATGGATACTGTTAAATTGTTCCTGTCAGGGCTCAATTAGCCCAAAACCTCTGAAATGGCTTCCAGACAACAAATGTGATTCTATTGTAATGCGCGACATTGTTCCGTATGACAAATATTTTGCTTTGTAATAAAATGGGAAACCAAAAGAATAGATTTCCGCTTTTTCTCATCCTTACCCTTCCACTGCTCCACTGTATCATGGATTTTCAGGCTGTGGAAACTGATGCTAAAGTTCTGGCAACACACAACTCTGCTCCAGTGACTTATGCTATGGATGCAAGAGGGAAGCTAGAAATAAAAGCTCCAAAAATTACTTTAGTGCTATGCTGAAAAAAAGGGCTTCTTGTCATGCAGTCATTTTCAGCTCATCCAATACAACCTCCAGACACATTAGAGGAGACTCTTAGGTGATAAACAAACTATGTACGAGACTTTAAATAAAAACTGATTTGTGGATTCGAATGTGAAGAACAGAAACAGGTAATTGTTGACCCAAGTATTTTAAGTACTGTAACCTAACTCATAAAGTCAATGGACTTAAACATTAGAGAGAAGGGGTACTGTGAAACAAAACCATACCATCTGCTCTAGGAAAGGAGTAAAGAATCAAACCTCCTTTCCAGAGGCAGATTAAATAGAAGCCTGTGTTTTGGAGCCAGTTCTGTTACAGAGGTCTGCTGATGATCATCACATATTCTCAGGCAGACCATAAACCTGCTATTAGCACTCAGGAAATTATCCCTATTTTATTTCTCAATATTTGGAATGTGTACGGGGCTCATGATGCGTGCATTACTGGTAATCAATTCTGTCTAAACAAAATACCAATGGTATTTGTTTTTTAAAACATATTCTGAAAAAGGTATTTATTCCCAAGTCTTTACTATTCATACAATTCATATTTCCAAGTTTTTCTTTACATCCTCTGAAAGCTGAAAACTACTTTATGACAATTCTCCCATCACTATCCAACTTCAATGATTTTTAAGATAAATATCTAATATTATGAGGTCTGTCTGCAATAAAACCATAGAAACCAGCAGCACAGTTGCTCCCACCAACACCTAGTATGACCACAGTTCTCCTCACATTTCTACACAATAGAGTGAAGCAAAGGCCTCAGGCCCCTATACTACCCACAAAACACACATTGAGCCTGTTCTGGAAAATGTCAGTCTTATTTCAAAACTGGCCACAACTATCAACCTCATCTTTATTGACCAGTCACCACCACGGTCCGGTAGCACCAGAGGAACGAAACTCGGGCTCACAGGTGATCTCCGTTAGAGCTGTTGCATGAGGTGATACAAACATTGCAGATTAATTGTCATTGCAGGGTTTCTTGTGCAGGTGCCAACCCCTTCCATTAGAGACTGGACGGAGACCATCTGTCACATGATACTGGCCAAACAGCCATGAGGCAGCGATTATGCTTTCCCCCACTAGTAATGGCTCCGGGGCAATACAGACCATGATGTAAATCCCAAGGGCGGTGTTGATCCCCATTGCCTTCCATAGAAGGCAATGGGTAAATCACACAACTGAAACTAAACCATAGAGAACTTCTTTATCCACAGCATTCCCCAGGCCATAAATAGTGTGTTAGTGATCTGCCTAAGACAGCAAGAAGTGTGCCATGCCAAAATTGACTGCTGATTACTATATAGCTTTTGCTTTCCGTGCTTTAAGATACTCTTATCACCTTGAATGTAACTTGCCCTTTTGCCCTTTCTTTGATGCCGCCTTTGAAGTTTTTTCTATATGAAAGATACTGTATGTTGCACATTCTACAATACTAATTATTACCACAGGCATACATTATTATAAATAGGCTGTGTGGAGTTCATACCTTCTACTCACAGGTAAGGCCGCACTGATATGGCATATAGGGGAAAGGTGAAAGCAAACACTGGATGTGGTTGTGTTTCACTGCCAAGAGTGGCTAGCACTGTTTGTAGCTGTCCTATCAGCTCTGGGGCATTTATTGACTCATCATCCCTCCAAGCCACTTCCAGGTGGCCCAACAGAACCCATTTTCCCCACTTCTCCATCTCCAAAGCTAACTAGGCATCTTCCAGAATATTCAACACTGCCCTACATGGATAAAAGCTGCCTGACAAAAACAATTAAATATTGGACACAACCAACCCAAACTACCAAATACGGACTTTGTTGAGTATTTTAATTCTGTTCTACCCAAAAAACCCGTATATATTTACAGTTAAGCCAATGTTTTAGCTATTTTCATGCATCAAGGCTTTAATGATGACTGAAAATGAAGTTAGGAAAAGTAGGCAAAAGCTGTAAACAACAAACAGGTTTGTCTGCATGATGGTTCTAATACTTTAGTAAGTTATTTGGAATATTTCCCCCCTAG